CCCGAATATTTTCAAGGTGCGATTGAATAGGCATCTTCTGGGCGAACTCGTACCAACGTAGACCTCATCTTTGCTCTAGGGTTAGGTAGTGGTCAAGAGTACGTCCATTTTTAATATAAAAAAAAAAAAAATAGCAATACTTGGAATCCCCAAGTCGTTCTCGCATTAGTTTCAACGTGGCTTCCCAACACAGAACTTCCTCTTGAAAAATTTATGAAAAACCATGTTTTTTTACTTGCACTTTGTACTGCGCACAGCGTACAAACTGGCATTGATTAAAATGAAAAACATATAAATATCAGATATTCCGATTAAAATTGCAATACCTGATTTAATCAAAACGTCTGCGTCTGGTCGCGTACAGGCCACATTAAATTTTCCATATTTTAGAGAGGATCCAAGTATTTGCCTTGCCAACACAGAGCTCCCCACAGAGTAGCCACGAGTCAGACCGGGAGCCAATGTGTACGGCAGGTGCTGGATGCGGCGCGGCGGGTGTGGACACAGCAGTTTTCGGCGCGCATAGCACGCGGTTCGCCTCCACGCCGGCCACGCGCGCGGCTGAGGTGCCGATAAAGCTCATACGCAAGGCTGCGAGTTGGACTCCGACATCTCACATCCTTTACTAGATTTTATAATAGACTAATGCTTACTGAAGACGAACACACGTTCGCAAGAACCATTTGCTTACAACATAATAAAACGGCAAATTATACTATTCTAAATTAATAATAATAATAATCTTTATTTATAAAATAAAATTATGATATTATTGTACGATTTAAAAATTGTTATGATTGTGATCTCAGGAGAGAAACCGTTATATGTTCATATCTATATATATTTTTAATAAAAATATAATATTACCCATTAAGCCCCTGGTTTTTAATTTATATAAAATCAACTAGAAGCAAAACTGAACACTAAAACTCTACCTGGTTAAACATTATATCGAGAATGAAGCGACGAAATATAATAGATGCTCAAACGAACTTCTTAAATGAAGTTCCATCACTATTATGTGAGTCACTTCATTCGAAGATATAATCAACACTCTCCCTCCCTTGACATCGTCATATGGTAAAGATTCTGAAATTCTCAAATAAGTTTTGCTTCCCACTGTAAAAGGAATGAGGATAGAAAATGGCGGTTCATGTCTGGTAGGGAGTGTCAACGTCAAAACATTTTTTTTTCTCTAAAAACCGTGCAGTGTTCGCTAGCAAGTTAAGGAAACTAACTGGTTAAACATTATATCTTCGAATGAAGCAACTCACATAATAGTGATCGAACTTCACTTCAAGAAGTTTGTTTGATCATCTATTAGACCCTACTCAAACGCTATACTGCCTCCAGATTTGTAAAACGGGTTAAATTTTATTAAAAAAAGATTGCGTCTGTTGTCCTGCATTGTTAACAAAATATACAATAAATATTGGTTCTGTTTCATTATTTTATTTACTCGAACAAAAGTATTGTATGCAATAATTACATAATATTAGGTCTTAAAATCCCGTAGGTACCTACCTATTACTTAGGCAGAGTCCTTATTATGCAACGATTGCATAAAATACTATTTACCGTTAAATTTTAGAACCTTAAAAATTGCGAAGACAGAAGTCAAAACAACCTAAAGCGATTGGGTTTCTACATTGACTTACAAATAAATGGACGACGGGTCTAATACAAAAACCACGAAAAAAATGTCCCAAGTCAACCTATTCGAAATTTAAATTGTAATGTCATCGCAGTATCGCGCTGTCCGTAGAACAAATGAAGACTAAAGCGGAGAGTCGCGCTCTGTATACGATTTTAGCGCATTAAAAGTGCGGACACTTTTTAGCGCGGACCCGACGTCCATATAATTGTAAGTCAATGGGTTTCTAGTTTAGATTATGGAAACTAAAGGACAAGTTATGTTGACATATATAAATCAGACTTTATATGTATATGATGCATTTCGACGTCGAAAACATAAACATGTTATTGTCTTTGTTTAACTATTGCGTGCCGTCTTAAGCCAAAAGAGATAGCATTACATTGGTCTGTGTCAAACACGGGAATCGAAAATACGTAACGTCATCTTCAATGCCAACTGTGTCCATTTCGCAGTACATGAGGTACATGATACGGTTGTCAAAGGGAAGTACATCAAATGTCAAAACAAATGTTTTTCCAAGTGTTTTATTGAATTATTCGCATGTATTCATTGACCATGTATTGTAATAAAATGGACAAAAATATTGACAGTGAGAACAATTAAGTATCAATAAAAATACGTCGCTGTAGCATTACGGGATGTGGCATTTGAAAATGCGAAGATCGACCGAATGTAACATTCACGTGTTATTTTTCTGTCTATAAATCACACAAAAGCCCACATATCTCACGTAATTAGACATATTTATGTAGTTTATTCATAAATCTTGCCAAATTTTGCTTTGGTTTCTTCAGATTGCCTGTTTGTTTGTATATTTTGATGATTTGATTATTTTGAGACAGCGTTGTTCTATGTACGCTTATGCAATAAGTATGCTTCCAACATATTATCGATATTCTGTTATTAAAATAATTCACTACCAGGTTTTTATTATTATTTTTACTATTTCAAGTTCGATTTTTCTGCACGAATCGAAGGCGCTCGACTAATAGTAAGTAGTCAATTGACATTGTTTAATCAGACATTTGCATGCTATTATATATAATATTATATGTATATTATAAAATATTATATATAATATACGCGAAACATGTTTATACTAACACTGTATCTGGTTACATCTCCTGTTATACCATGTTTTAAGCAAATAAACGTATGATAATAATATTATTATTGATAATATTACTACTTTCATAATATCCAACATTAAATGGAGGTCTTAAAGATTCACTTCAATCAGTCACTGATATTAATTCTATACCAATGCATAAATACAAAAAAGCTTTCACTATCGGAATGTGTTTAAAAATTTCTGTATGAAAATATGAATCTTGAGGTTGGAAATGCATAGGATTTATATTTCAGTTTTCTCTTTTTATATACTTTTAAATTATACAAATTATTTTTTCTGTGCAAATTCACTTTTCATAATATTTGAGTATTTGTAAATGCAAAACAATAAATTCAAAACTTCATGTGACGCTCCCGGATATTCTCATAATAACCTAAAATATTCCCAAATGGAATATTGATCTACTTTAATTAAATGTTTGCATGTCGATAATGACTTATCGATAGATTCTGGTACGACACTAAACAAATCTGCCTTTTGTTCGTTCAATTTTTTAGGTATGCAAGTTCATTCCGTAGTTAGGGCAATTCTTTTATTTTTTTTCCATCCTCTAAGGTTTCTAGGTATCTAGTCGAGTAGCTCTTTGAGGGTCGTATTCCAGAACTCTACTCAATACTCAAGTCAGGATTGCACTGGAAACACAAGCACTGGAAACACGACCCTAATGGCAGGGACTTGAGTATGATTTCGAGTGCTTAAAGCCATACTCAAATCCTGACTTGAGCATTGAGTCGAGTTCTAGAACACGACCCTGAGTAGAGTTCTGGAATACGACCTGGAGTATCATGTCACATTTATTAATAATAACAATAAAATGGGAGTCAATAGGAAATTAAAACTGTGTTGTGTTCGCGGTTATCCACGGGTTATCCTCGTTGCGAATGCTGAATCAGAAAGCAATCCGTACTGTGGTACCCACAGCGTTCGCCCTCCCTGCCGGCACCTGTGCAATACACCCAGATTCAACAGGTTCGGTATCTGCGCAGAAATTATTGCGTATGTAGATATTCGGTTTATTTAGTTAATAGAACGTAATTTGCATAGAATGCCAGGAAGCGTGTTCGCATACATTGTGATTCTTTGCATCGTAGGTTACTTACCCGTAAGTGACCGTGTGACGTCTGTCCTCCGCTTTGAGTTCATTCTGTTCTGACCAAAACCAAACAGTGACAGAATCCAGCGCTCGTACTAAATTAGTGTTTTATCAATTCTTCACCTTCAACTTGCACGATCGAAATAAAAACCATTGACGCAGGCGACGCCTGGCGAGCGCTACTCTGCCTGACGCCTCTAGTTTGCACAACTGAATATACAAGATTTACTATAGAGTATTGTTCAACACTTTGAAATCGAGTTAACAAATATGTAATTTCCCTTCATACTTATACATAAATTAGTCCACGGGAATCATGTAAAACAATGTTTGGGGTTTTCAAGACTGACTTGTGTGTGTGTGCAGCTACCTATAATTATACCGGATGAATTAAAAATATTTATATTTAAATAAATGATAGCTGAATTGGCAAATACAAATTGCTAAAAATGACAAAATTCTTAGTGCGAATGAACACTTGGAACGAAAAAATTGGCATATTGTAAGGTAAGGTAATGACGTACTATACCTACGCGTGTACCATTCTTGACATATTGAATTTGTGAAATCATATCAATGGCATGTCACAATACTTAATTTTAGTAGTAAATTAACATTGTGTAGCTAGACAGTTGCACGTTATTTAACATGACTTTATAAGGACTTTACCTTCGCGAAACATGTTTTATAGTGGCACTGTTTCATCGTGTACCTACCGTGTTTTAAGGAAATAAATGAATTATTGTTATTGTATAATTATTACTATTATTAAATGAATCACCTCCTAGATAGGAGCAGGCCGTCGACCTTCGAGTGCAAATGTAAAGTTCAACGAAAGGCATATAAATAGACGACCGACGAGGACCGGCCGCATCAAAATATCACACATCGACAAATGTCAACACTATCTGTGAAAAGCGTAAACCGGTCGGATAATTGTACTTACGGACGAACAATGTTGAACTCGCCGCATGAGGTTATTTGTTTCAGAATACGATCGCGAGATTCGTCGAGACCGTCTGTACGAAAGAAATAAGAAAGACGTCGAGTAAGCGGCGAGCGCGGAAGCGACACGGCCGCTCGGAAAAAGCACATAACGAGCACCGACCGTTGCGCAGGCGACGACGGCGAGGGCGGGGCTTGGCGACGAGCGCGTGCGCTTTCGCGGCCGCTGCTGGGCGAGCTGCTGGGCACGGCGCTGCTCGTGCTGCTGGGCGTGGCGTCGCTGCTGCCGGTGGCGGGCCCGCGGCCGCTCACGCACCCCGCGCTGGCCTTCGGCTTCCTCGTCACGGCGCTGGTGCAGGCGCTGGGCCCCGTCAGCGGCGCGCACTTGAACCCCGCCGTGACGCTGGCCGCGCTGCTGCACGGCCAGCTGCCCGCCCTGCCGGCGCTGGCCTACGTGCTAGCGCAGCTGCTGGGCGGCACGCTGGGCTTCGGCGTGCTGGTGGGCGTGCTGCCGCCGCACGCGCTGCTGGACCTGGACGACGCCGGCGTCGTGCGGGGCGTGCACGGCTGCACGGCGCCCGCGCCGCACGTGTCGGCGCTGGCCGCCTTGCTGACCGAGGCGCTGCTGACGGGGCTGCTGGCGCTGGTGGCCTGCGCCGTGTGGGCGGGCCACGACCCCGCGCGCCCCGACCACTCCGCGCCGGTCAAGCTCGGCCTCACCGTGGCCGGCCTCGTCTACGCCGGCGTCAGTGGCCCTCTACCGCTAGGCCCGCCCCGGCGACTGACGTGACTGACGTGACTGACGTTGCAATGTCCGTGCAGGGGCCGATTTCGGGCGCGAGCCTCAACCCCGCGCGCAGCCTGGGCCCGGCGCTGTGGCTCGGCTCCTGGACCGGCCACTGGGTGAGTGCGGGGCGTGCGCCTCCTCGTCGGGTTACCGTTTGCAGCATATCCTTATGAACTCATTCGTGTATCTAGACGACCGTTTCACTCAGTGGCGGATTTGCAGGCCGGCCCTTTCTCAGCACTCATCATGTACTGGTAGACTATTATACGCGGCATGCCTTTTAAGTTCTGGCGTTTACGTATTTACCGGCAGCTTTGAATTTGGAACTTCGAACGTACGAAAATGAATCTTACTAAGGAAAATGTCCGTGCAATAATTTTGTACAACTTTAAAAGAGGCCTACACGGCTTCAGTGTTTTCGAGTGCTAACATCTGTGTTCCATGGTGAAGCCCCATCTCTGCGGACTGTCGAACGCTGGTATTTAGAATTCCAGCGTGGACATACCAGTCTTAGCGTCGTATTCCAGAACTCTACCCAATGCTCAAGTTAGGATTGGAGTATGATTTAAAGCACTAGAAATTATACTCAAGTCTTTGCGTTTAGGGTCGTATTTCCAGTGCTTGAAATAATACCCAAACCCTGACATGAGCAATGAGTAGAGTTCTGGAATACGACCCTTGGTGACGTGAAATCCCGTGAAGGACGTCCAAAATCCGCCTTCACTGAAGAAATCATCATTGCTGAGATAACTAATTCTCGAAGATCGTCATGTGACATATCGAGTTTAGAACACTAACATATAATCCACAAAAATAAACAAATTCGCAGTTCAAACAGTAAGAAAATAGACAGCAAAAACTTTAGCGAAAAAAGCGCAAGTGTATCTTCCAATCGCTCTGACCGAACCTTTTTCCTATGGGAGCATTGACTTACAATTATATGGAAGTTGGGTCCGCGCTAAAACGGGTCCGAACTTATAGGGCGTTAAAATCGTATACAGAGCGTCATTCATCGCGTCTTCGTTTGTTCGACGACAGCGAAGCAAGCAAAATTAGACAGTACTGCGATGACATTACAATTTAAATTCAACGTTTTAGCTTTTTCATATTCCTTTACATGTCACTACGTTTAAATAGGTTGACCTGGGACATTTTTTTCGTGGTTTTTGTATTAGACCCGTCGTCCATTTATTTGTAAATCAATGTATGGGAGGTTAAACACGCATACAGAGCGTCAATCGCACAACAGTATTCGTTCGTTCGACTGGCTGACGGATATTTAAGTTTACGTGTAGTTTAAATATCAGTACATTTCTTATAGTACAAGCTTATTTTCACATTTGTAATATTTGTATGTATTTGCCCAACTCTTAATTATTTTTTTAAGTGAATTTGTACAAAATTTGACATAATAATATATATAAAAATTAATTAAATTTACAATAAAGGCTGCTCCATTACTCTTGTGTTCAAGTAATTTTCAGTCGAAGCTAAATATGGTGCGTTTTGTTAAGTTTCCAGTAGAAGCTGAATACAGTGTCTTTGGGCCCTTAGATAGTTGCAAATGCGCAGTTGACATGTAGTTGTGCGGCAGGTGTACTGGGCGGGCCCGCTGGGCGGCGCGGCGCTGGCGGCGCTGCTGCACCGCTGGGTGCTGCTGCCGCGCCGCGCGCCCCCGCGCCCCGCGGAGGCGCTGCCGCTGCGCGACAAGCCGGACCTCTGACCGCCTCTGCCTGCCGCCGCTCGATCCCGCTCGATGAAGCGGTCGCTTTCATCGAACACGACCTCCTCGTTGCATTTTTGTACCGACTTCGATATCACCTATCGAAGGTTCGTTCACTCGTTAGGTACCGGTTAAGGGACACCCTTGTGTCGTTTTGTTTCACTCGATATCGAAAGCTCGAATGATCGGTCGCGGTTTGATACCTAAACTGACTGAGATGTACCTAGTCGTGAGTACTGTCAGCCTAGAGTTCGGCTGCGCGGGGTGTCGTCGGCTACGCAACAGAACTGCGAGAACGACCTCTTTCGAAGGTTGTAACATTAAATCTTCAAAAACAAAGCCATATTTAAACGAGTAGCTTAAAGGTGATTTCCAGCGGCGAGGCGAGACCAGACGAGAATAGAAATCTCGCCGGCCTATTTCCACCAAAAACTCGCGCGAGCTCACACTGTGGTTTTGGATAGTGACTATTTAGTTCTGTTCGGATCGTCTAGCGGTCGAGATAAACGCGCGGCTGAAGTAACATATTATGACGTACGAGAAATCATCTTTCCGTTACAGAATATAATACCCTATGTAGGCGGCATTACGGTTCAATATTACATCAACAAATATTTAAATCCAAGTCTCGCCCATCCTCGTCAATCCAGACCATTTCCACCGAAGATGCGTTAGAATAGAATTAAAATTTTGCCATACAAATTTCAACTCTCGTATCGCCTCGCCGGTGGAATACCACCTTTAGACCTTTTGAAAATTGACCCTTATAAGGAAAACCTTTTCCCAAATTATGACGTCAGGTAATTAGGCGTTGCCATGTATTTATTGCAAATAAACAATTCACATTTATTCTACGTACCACCAATAGCCAACTAATACCTCATGGCGATCGCCCTCATTTCTCTGCTGACAGATTGCCTTTTATTGACTCTAAAATTGAACTTCGACACACTACTCCGACAATATGTTACTACGACATTACTTTACTCAGACACTACGCTACTTCGACAACACACACGAGATGTTTCTTAAAAAAAAAATTTCTACTCAGATAAGAAAAATCATCATTACAAACCCACGTAGGAAATGGTTTCTTATATCGGTCAATATAACAAAAAAAGGACAACATTATATAATCGGAAATTTATTTTATTAAAATACAGAGTGGTTTTTTAAAATGATATTACAGTATGAGGAAATCTAAAACCATAGACGATACAAAGAAACTATCTTAGGAACCATAAAGTCGTCTTTTTTTGTGAAAACACTTTTAGCATTGTAAAATTTTTGGTCAAGCGTGACTTGTCCATAAAAAGCGAATAAAATTGATCAAAATATTTTTTTGTGTCGTTCGACTCAGTTTCATGTCGGAATCATTTCTTTGTATGGGACAAAGAAAATCAGGTCAGCAGAAGTTGGTCAAATTTAACAAAATGTTATTGTGTATGAAAATTTTTTATTAAATAAATTTGACTAACTGCCCTTTTGCTGCCCCGATTTTTTTCTTCCGGTACAGTGAAGTCGTCAGTCTTTTAAGAATATGAGTAATGCTAACATTAAAAAAAAATTTCTCAATTTTATTTATGTTGTATGAACAATATTTTATGGAATTTGATCAACTTCTGTTGTCCCGATTTTTTCGTCCCATACAATGAAATGATCCTTCATGATTCGGAGTCGATCAGCACTAAACAAAATTTAATTATTTTTTTTTTCAAATAAGTTCCTAAGACAGTTTTCTTGTATCGTCTATGGTTTCGGATTTCCTCATATTATCCCATTAAAAAAACACTGTATAAAGTGTAACAAAAAAAATTATTAAAATAAAACAAAATATACTATTTCAAAATCCATTATCCAAAATTCTGCTTCGAGAAGCAGTTTCAAATTTTCTTCCGTCCCGAAAATAATAATATATGATTTTTCTGTTTACTGTAATTAGGTTTTTGTAAACAAAAAGTGGTATTCATTCAAATTCGAATAAACGTAATGGCGTTGGTTATAATATGGTAAAATTTTATATTAATATACTACATTATTACCGATAACTTTTAAATTTTGAGGGTAGGTTTAAATTATTTTCACAAAAAAGGCGACTTTATGGTTCCTAAGATAGTTTCCTTGTATCTTCTTCTATGATTTCGTTTTCCTCATACTGTCACATAAAAAAAAACACTGTATTTTAATAAAATAAATTTCCCATTATATAATGTTGTCCTTTTTTTTGTTATATTGATCAATATGTGTAAGTAACCATTTCCTACGTGGGTTTGTAATGATGATTTTTCTTATCTGAGTATTATACTCAGGTTTTTTTAGAAACATCTCGTCTGTATTGTCGAAGTAGCGTAGTGTTTGCGTAAAATCATGTCGATGGAACATATTGTCGGAGTAGCGTAGTGTCTGAGTAATGTCGAAGTAACATATAGTCGGAGTAGCGTAATGTCGGAGTAAAATCATGTCGATGTGACATGTGTAGGAGTAGCGTGTGTCGTAGTTCAATTTCAGAGTCCCTTTTATTATATAAAAAAATACTCTTTATAAATAAAACTGTTTACTGATACCTACATTTGTTTTATTTGTCGCCGTTGGATATAGATAAATGATCCCCGAGCCCAGTTATTACTTATACGATACATGTCTACTGAGGGACATTACGATGTCCATAGAATATTAGATTCATATTTCGTTGCAAACCAACATCTTTTATTGTTAATAACCCAAAAAATGGACGGAATAAAAATACTACACTGTTCGACAATCGCTCTTCATCGACAGTCGTTTCCATATTTTTTAATATTGTGATTACGTCATAATTACAGTCACCGGCACGAGTAAATAATAGTTAGTATTATTGTAAGTTGGGTAAATCGGCGTTGCGAGTATGTGCGTGTAAGTACCTAGGTTCGCAGTCACGAATAACTCAGGGACTCAGAGTCGTATTCTAGAATTCTACTCACTGCTCAAGTCAGGATTTGAGTATGGTTTAAAGCACTGAAAATCATACTCGAGTCCTTGCCATTAGGGTCGTATTTCCAGTGCTTGAAATCGTACTCAAGTCTGCTCAAATCCTGACGTGAGCATTGAGTACAGTTCGGGAATACGACCCTCAAACAGTTATAACTGAATTATAATCTCTCTCCAGTGCCAACCGAGGCAGAGTCTGACTCACACGACTAAACAGGCTGTCTAAATGGCCATAGGTGTCTTGGACACAGTGAGTTTATTTTAGATCAGTTTGACTTTTACCCCGAGTTGACTACCGCTGGCTTGCAACGCGTTCCACCCGTGAGTGGCACTGGTATGAGGGGGTCGTCAATGATGAAAGTTTCGCGCGCCGCAGTGGTCTTGAATTCAGCTTGCATTTTGGAAAAGTGATAGATACATACCTACGTAAATAGTGTTTCTAATTTTCTGTTAAAATCATGTTAATAAATGTTTAATAAAATTGTTTTTTTTTTTACATTCTAGGTATAAAAGGTGTAAGAACTGAGTATTTTTTCCAAACCTATTTCATATTAGCACACGGGAGTTTTAACTCTGTGTTTGAAACACAGACATATATCTAGATAGACACCGCAAGTACAGCAATTTGCATGAAAACCAAGCGTGCCACATTTTTTGTACCCTCTATGACGTCACAAGAACTATTTAGTGATGGAAACCTGCCACTCGCGTAAACACGCGTATTCCATTCAATTAATCGATTCTAAACAGAATAACTTTTGTTCAAGTATTTGTTGATTACAAGTACCTAGTCGTGATATTAATATAGTAGAAAAATACTACAATAAGATAGTTAAGTCTTTTATTTTACTTGTTTTAGATTACTTAAGACTTTAATTTTTAATCGACTTCAAATATTAAAATTATTGTCCTTCCAATAAAATGAGCTTATTATATATCTTAATAGAGGGCCTTATTGATTAACTTAAATAATGAAAACGCACGTCATTACATATATTAAGAACTTGCGACTGCCTTAATTAATTTTACTAGATGGTTTTCTGTTAGGAACTGATCAAATTGATGAATGGCAAGGCAAACGAAAATGGGAAAGAGGGAGAGCAACCAAGTATTTCAAAAAAATACTTGATCCCCAGAGACAGTTTTGATGTGTGTATAATATAATGTATATGTATTAATGTTTATCTATATATATACAGGTGATAAAAAAATCACTGTCTATTTCTTCCTGTACATTCGATTCAATAATACAACCCATTAGTGAAATAAAATTGAAAATCACCATTTTTGGCAGTTTTAAAATATTAACAGTTCCCAATAATTTCTAACGCGTGGTTCCTCAAAATAGTAAATAAAACGATTGGCGCCGCCGTATCTTGCACCAGCCTGTCTCCGCGACGGCAAACGGCGCCGACGCATGGTTGCTAGTAGATTTGAGAGTTGCAAATAGGGTACATGTCCGTTACTGTTTCCGGCATAGCTCGTGGTTAATTCCGTAACAATGTATTCTCATCGGGGGTATTACGAGTGATTCGTGTTTTATCGTAAGTGGTTGGAGTCCTCACGAAACTCGAGAGCGCCGTCCGTCTACGAGCTCAGGGCTTAACGGATCTCAACAAAGCTCAAAGCCGAGACGAACATTTGACGCTTTAAAAAGTGACCGTAGTTGCTTGGAAAATTATGGAGCCCAACTACAGCAATCACCCTATCTTACCGGAAATCGAATCCGGAACCTCCTCAGCGTCTGCAGAGCTAACCGTTCAGCCACCGACGCAATGACGTCTATTAATCGTTCGTGGTTTGTTTTATTACTCTGTATAATTTATTTTAAATTATTTTCGATTCGGAAGTTACGTTCAAAAATAATTACCTTCGTCTCGTAACAATCTTTTACCCTATTTGACGAACCGGCTTCGGCGTCGTCGAGCAATTATTATCGAAAACACCTATCGCGCTCCGCCGTCGGGGCTTCGGTCCTCTCTTTTCCAGAGGACGAGCCGACTTTCTGCGAGGTGCTCGAAAACGAGAATGTAAAAACAAGTATTACAATCATAGTTTACTAGAGTTTGAAAGGTACACAGGCAAATATCACTAACGCACACAACGGAACATAACTCATAATCGCTTCAGGATGCGGCGCTTGTCGCGGCCCTTGCCCGCCGCGCGCCGCTCGCGCTTGGCGCTGGGGCCGTCGTCGGCGTCGGCCCCCTCCGCGTCCCCCGCCCCCTCGGCCCCCTCGGCCCCCTCGGCCGCCTCCGCGTCGGGCGCGCGCGCGTGGATGTCGGCCAGCAGGCGCGCGCGCGCGCAGTAGGCGGGGTAGTCGTCGCGCAGCAGCGCCGCCGCCTCCGCGTTGAGCGCCGAGTCGGGGTTGGGCGCGATGAGCAGGCAGCGCACGGCCAGCAGCGCGTGCGCCAGCCCCAGCTCCGGCCGCCAGTCGCGCGCCAGCGTGTTGACGCACACCTCGCCGGCCGCCGACACGTTGGGGTGGAAGATGCGCGTCGCGAACACGGCGCGCGGCGGCGCCGCGGGGTAGCCGCGCCCCAGCTGCAGCCGCACGCGGAACACGCCGCCCTCGTACGGGGTCTCCGCTGCAACGGGTCGACGTCTGAGGGACGGGTTCTCCGCCGGAGAAGTGCCTGCGACTCCGGAGATGGCTTTGCGATATAGGATACTATTTCTTCTCGGGGAGTCCGCTTTGCCGGTCCGTGCGACCCGCGCGAAAGCTAGACCGATAACTTCTTTGTTAAAGACTGTGCCGGCAGCCCGACAAAGTCCCCGTCCTTCATCTATAACAGGTTTTAATTCACTGGAACTTCTTCAGTGCTATGCAGTTAAGTGGAAGTTTTTAACGCACGCAGTCATAGCCCCGCACTGGGGAAACCCTGTAAGGGTTCCAGCCGCCGCAGCATGGCTACGCATGATAGTCGCGACGTGCGCGATAAAATTGAAATAAGGGCGCGCTATCTAAATTAGACCTGATTGGGACAGCCAATGGCGCGCGCTTATTTCAATTATATCGCGCGCGTCGCGACTATCATGCGTAGCCATGCTACGGGGGTTGGTACACGAAACGGTATCGCGAGTGCCATGAACACACAGACAACAACAAATTGCACCCAAACTGAGGAAGAAAAATAAATGTATACCAAACAAACATTTCCCCGGCCCGGCAATCAAACCCGGCTCAATCAAACCTCTGGATAGCAGACCAGCATGCAGCCATTTGGCCACAGAGGTTCTCTCGAGATTTTAATTTGCGACCTATACTAGAATAATATCTCTAAATGCTTTACTCACAGCGACTTACGCGAACGACCTTAAATTATATCTGTGGGTCATGCATGACAATTAGAAACCCTACACCCTCAACATATGGGTCAGTCCACAATGTATTATTCAGATATGGTCATCTCGGTCTAGTTGAACAAAAATTTATTATGTTGCTTCTTACGTAAAATTGTTCATTTATTTATTCAGAAAAAAAAGATTGCAAATAACACAATACATTCTCCACAGCTTTTGCTATAAATTTACTTTGTTATTTCAAAATCAAATAGTAATTTAGTTAATTATTGAATTATTGATCAACGAAATGTTTACTATTATGTTCCATGTAAATACAGATTGTCTACTTCATTGGTATTCTAAATTTTCTTCTTCGACTGAGGTTGCTTGGTAGAAACTAGTTTGACAAGTCAGGGTCAGGGTATTGGTTGGTGTGTGTTGATAAGAAGATAGACTAATTACATGGAAGAAGAAATATCGGAATTTGTTTAAAGAAGTTATAATTATTAATACAAAGATCAAAGATCGAAAGAATTCGGCCGGATTCGAACCTGCGGACCTCACGGATTTTTCTTTGAACTTGTTTGCCGGCATTTGGTTTTCAACGACTTTTAGCTGTAGCTATGAGAAATCTATAAAAATATTTCATCACACATTTAGGTAACTTAACAGCTACCAGCCCTGGCTAGAGATATCGCTATTAATTGTAATTAAATTTGTATTGAATTGATATTCAATTATTTTTTGTGAAGCCAGATTCTTCAGCTGCTTACTTGGCATAGCGTCTGGTACGGTTTGTTAGAAGACGTCACGCGTCGGTCCGAATCCGGCCTCATGGAAGGAAAATTTTTTTTCTAAATGTTCGATGTTTGTATTAATAATTATAACAAACTAGTGGAGTAATTTTAAAGAAGGTTTGGGTGAATTCAGGGGCCATAAGTGTCATTGCACGTATATCCCAGGACGGTGCCGCGGTTAATGAAAGCGCGTCCTGTACCATTCCCGCTGAAGCAGCAAGCGAAAGACGTACTGCGTCAAATGATTGAGGAGGCGTTTTGACACCAATCAAATATTCTAAATGTGCCACTCCTTTGAGAATTGTTAAGAAAGATGAGGGATCTTTGAGTATCTGCGGAGATTACCGTTCTACGGTCAACGTATTAATAAATATTGACACATACACTCTTCTACCACCAACAGAGGCGTTTGGAAACTTAGCGGAGGAAGTATATTTATATTGTAGCTATTACAGTAAGATCTATGCAAGAGCTTAACCAACGATTAGTTGCGGTATTGAATAAACTCCTAGGCATGGGATTTCAAGTAAACATTAAGAAAATCATCTTTTCCTCCCAGAGTATAATTATTTTTGGGTCATATGCTGAATGCTGACGGACTTCATCCATCTCCCAATAAAGTAGAAAAGATTCAGGGCAAACCAGCACTCATGAGGGATGGAGCGCTTATGAACGTGGTATGTACACGGATACGCTGTATGCGTGTTGGTTAACATGCATACAGCCAAGGCAAATCCACTGAAAACAACAGCAAATGAGACGCCATGGGCCATAGTAGCGAAGGGGTAGGAGTAGCCCTCAAGGAGGGGTACTGTCGCCTCTGCTGTGGAACACGGTAGTAAATGACCTCATCATTAAACTAAAGAAAGATAATTTCTTTACAGTAGGATATGCTGATGACATAGCTACACTGGTAACAGGAAATTAAGCCAATAAATACACTCTGCGACATTACACAAGCTGCACTCCGGATTGTGGAAATATGGTGTAAAGCATACGAACTATCGGTAAACCCAACAAAGACGGAACTAGTAATGTTTACAAACAAAAGACTACTGAGTAACTACCTACTACCCAAACTCTTCAGTACAGAACTACAGATATCAATCGAAGTCAAGTACTTGGGAGTAATAAAGGACAACAAGTTAAACTGGAACAAGCATCTGGACAACAAAATTAAAAAAGCTACTATCATCTGGCAGTGCCATAGAATGGTAGGTAAACAATGGGGATTTTCACCCAAGATAACACTATGGCTCTACACAGCGGTGATAAGACCCATGATCAGTTACGGCGTGATAGTATGGTGACCACGAACCAAACTGACGACCGCAACCGACAAGCTGGACAAATTAAAAGACTCGCTTGCATGGCGACCGGCTGCATGAGGACAACTCCAACTGCGGCCCTCGAAGCGATGCTGGACCTGCGACCCCTCCCACTGTTCATCAGACAGGAAGTGGCGTCAACAGCAGTGCGTCTAAACAGAGCCGGCCTTTGGAAGCACATGAGGACCCCACATACAGAAATCCTTTATAAGACTGTCAATGAGGAACCGCTACTGGAGGCGGCTGTGGATAGGCTCCCAAAACAATACATCTTTGACAAAAAATACAAGATACAATTGTTTGAAGAGCCCAACGAAGGATTGAACCCCAGAGAGGTCCGCGTCTTCGCTATTGGATCTAAAACAAATTCACAAATTAACAGGTACTGGGGTATTCTCGGAAGACTCAATATCAGGATATCAACACCGCTTGGTGACCACAACACAGTATTCCAGGCTGAATGCATGGGCATCAAGTTTGCGGCAGAAGCAATCATAGCGAGAAGAATAAAGAATCACTCCATTCGAATACTCTCCGACAGTATGTCAGTACTTCAAGTACTGAACAGCTATGATATAAACTCAGGGCTCATTTATAAATGCCATCAAGCACTCATGGAGGTATTTATACAAAACCATATAACTCTACAGTGGATTAAAGGACACAGCGGCTCACGTGGCAATGACGCAGCAGACGAACTAGCCAGAAAATGGTCGGAGACGGTTGCTGTAGGACCAGAACCCATAGTGTCCCTCTCCTACCAATGGTCCAGAACACATCTTCACATAATAATACATGGACCACCCTTACGGTTTGTAGACAGGCGAGGGAAGCACTCCCAACGCTCAATGCCAGTCTATCTCGAATTTTAATTAAACTCAAAAGGCAAGAGCTTCGCACTCTAACTGCCGCCCTAACGGGTCATGGTCCATACAAAATACCTTTTCAATTTAAGTATCACAGACAGCCCTCTATGCAGAGCGTGCATGGAGGGGGCGGAAACGGCTGCGCACATCCTACTACAGTGCTCCGGCGTGGCCAACTACAGGGCGAAGTACCTTGGAGTGCCAAGGTCGCTCCCCGTAGTCTTCAGCAAACCGAGATTCCTGGAGGAGCTTGGGTGGCACGAGTAGGAGTAGTACACCCACCACACGCAAAATAGGTGCCTTGACGTCGAGTTGCGGATACCAGCCCGTTACACCAAGTACCAAGTAAAGCAGCACCCACTAACAAAGGGACATTGAAAGCATTCTTGGGACTACCATTTGTATGAGAAATTTTTACCTGCCCACAAGGCAACATTCCCATTAGAACCATTGTATAGTTTGCTGGACGTGAAGATACCATGGATGTGGGCTGCCAAACAACAAGAGGCATTTAAAAACGCGAAGAACCTTCTGTCGTTGGATAGTACTTTAGTTGGATACAACCTAACTAAAGATTTGTTATTGATTTGTGAGTCATCAGATTATGAATGGTTATTGTTGTGGAACAGAGTCCAAGAAAATAGAGAAGGTGGTGGCTGAATGTGAAGACTGCCGAATCAGTGAGGAATAACTAAAGATCCACAATATAGGGGTTTATCTGGTATAAGCCGAGGAGGCTTAAACACATGGATTTTGCTGGCCCTGGTTTCAAGGAAAACCACTTTTACTCCTAATCAATTCATACAGCAAATGGCTAGCATTTGCTGTATGAATTGATTAGGAGCAGGAGGCAGAAATAGTTCCATTTATGAGATGAGCTCGATTCATACCACAATTTTGAGATGAATTGGTTTCTGACAATGGAAGGATTTAGTTCAAAGGGATTAAATTTATATTTGAAGAAAAACTACATCAGGCATCAGTACACCCCGCCCTACCAAGTGGTATCAACGGGTAAATAGAACGAGGCATGCAGACATTTAAAAACAAGTTGAAGAAAATGGCAATTGTCAATAGTAATAGCAGCTTTTTTTATGACTACTATTTATATTACTATTTGTTGAGATGACAATCAAAAATATGTATTAACTTGTCTTTATTTCAGCTACATCAATTGCTATTGCCTTCATATTTTTTATATCTATACCTCACACATAAGTTGTTGTAAGCCACACAATAGTATTTTTTACTTTCCATTAAAAGTAAACAAGCTGAAGATGTGGATGTAATTTAATTATAGGAAAATGTTTTGAATTATTAATATTAATTTTAATTGGAATTTTGTCTAGTTGTTAGTAGCGGGCGCGATTTTTCGAATAATGGCAAGCTGGGTATCATTTTCGAGATATTTGGGGGTGCTCATTACGAATATAGCACTTATTTGTAAATCCAAGATGGCGGACAAGATTTTTCAAAAAATGCTATATGGGTATCCTTTTCGAGATATTTGGTGGGGATGTTCAATACGAATATGGCACTCATTTCTAAATCCAAGATGCCAGACACGACAGTTCAAACAAAAGCAATATTCGTAATGAGCACCCCCAAATACCTCGAAAAGGATACCCAACTTGCCATTATTTGAAAAATCGTGCCCGCTATCATGGATTTACAAATAGTGCCATATTCACATTGAGCATCCCCAAATACCTCGAAAATGATACCCATATAACATTTATTTGAAAAATCGTGCCTGCCATCTTGGATTTAGAAATGAGTGCCATATTTGTAATGAGCATCCCCAAATACATTGAAAACGATACCCAACTTGCAATTAAAATGCGAGAAATCGTGCCCGCCATCTTCAATTTAGAAATGAGTGCCATATTCGTAATGAGCACCTCGAATACCTCGAAAATGACTCCCATATTGCATTTATTTGAAAAGTCGTGTCCGTCATTGTGTCTTCAGATATAAATGCCATTTCCATAAGGATTACCAAAAATAAATTTTGCACTCGTCACTGGACATTGTCGATCGACAGTAACGATCGACAAAATCAAGCACATCTGTAGGCACCTGATCAACAATGTCGGGCAAATCTATCAGCACCTTTAACTTAATGATGAGTTAAGCAAGAAACAATTTTCCCACTTTTGAGGGAAATGTTATTCCATGGCATCATTATTTGTATATTTGTGTGCGGGCCGACGAGCGTAGATACAAGTTGTTTACGCCTACATGAATTTGGTTTTTGCCTCACTTGTGACAGTTCGTTTGATATGAAACTATCATTCTATGCGTTATTATTCTAAGAATAATAATAATAACACACATACTCAACATACTCAACATAGCCCTGCACTAGGGAAAACCCTGTGTCGTGGGTGTTATGGACACACACATAGACAACCACAAATTACACCCAAACTCATGAGATAAATAAATGTAGGCCATACAAATATATCTTGCGGCCTGGGAAATAAATGTGGGACCTCTGTGTGGCAGTCCCAAATGGTAACCGTTCGTTCGGCCACAGAGACAGTGTAGTCCACGGAAGTACTTCTCCATTTGTATAAAAAAAAAACCACGAAGTGTCTAAGGTGGTAGTAAAGCACAGTCTAACCACTTCTAACCTATATTGGTCCCATTCGTTTCTGTCCAGAAAGACATAGGCATTCTATAAGGAACATCTAAACGTCTTTGGTGCAATAACGACCTATAGAACCATACATAAATAATTCATTTTAAAATAATTTCAATTATAACTTATAACGCTCACACTCAACATAGCCCCGCACTAGGGAAAACCCTGTGTCGCGGGTGCCATGGACACACACATAGACAACCACAAATTACACCCAAACTCACGAGAGAAATAAATGTAGGCCATACAAACATTTCCCCCGGCCCGGGAATCGAACCTGGGACCTCTGCGTGGCAGTCCGGCATGGTAACCGTTCGGCCACGGAGGCAGTCAAATATAATAATATTCAATAATTTATATTTTCAAATGTAACAAGTTTCCATAAGTTAATATTTTAGAATTACACTACTATATGTATGTAATCTGTTCACCATATTAATTTCAACTCTCGACTCAACCATTGGTAACATACAGTTGAGCCCTACAACAATTTAAGTGTGAGGTATCAATATATGTGCAACTTTTCACAAAAGAATTGCTATAGAGGTAATAAATCTCTTTGGTTAGAAATTAATCTGCTAATACCGTCACTTGCCATGTGTACCGACCTGGCCCATCGATGAGCGCTGAGATGGCGGAGAGGTCGTCGTCGCGCAGCAGCAGCTTAACACCGGGCGGAGGTCGTTCTGCCAACCGACGCAGTTCTCGCGCCAACCCGCCTGCGCGACCGCCCCACGCCTGCGGGCATACGTTCTCCTCCGAGCCCATCACTACTCGTCAGCCCCAGCCAACGACGCGCCTCAGCTACGGCGCTCCTCGCCCATCGCCATCCGAGTTTTGCTCTGCACCGTTTCACTCGATTCTTTGATATTCGCCCTGACGCTATACGTATTCGTAACTCAGTCGAACCACCGATAACTAGTCCTTGTCAAAAACGCTACCTGAAACCCTAAATATACTCATCAAAATGCAAAATAATAATAGAGAATACGGACAACAGAACAAGCGTAATGCACACTTTAACTTTTTAGCACAGATTTCCAATTAATATACATTAAAATTATGGCAAATACGGTGATGACATATAATGCCAAACACTAAGTTAACTACAACGTGACTACAACAACAAAATAAAATTGGTTCATTCTTCATCACGTCACAACATGTTTACGTTCAAAAACCAAAGTTTTTTTCTGTCATTTTGTTTTTTTTTATGCTGCCGTAGACAGAGTGATGCTGCTGACAAATATCCCAAAAATAATGTGGGGAATCCAGAGTTTATGGATACCTCACAGAGATCTAGGACATTCGAATTAGAAACATTAAAATAGATCTAAGTAAATTATGCAAAAACACATTTATTTAGGATTACATTTGCATGTCGATAATGACTTATCGATAGATTATGGTACAACACTAAAGAAATCGGCCATTTGTAACTTTCAAATTTTGGTAATATGCACGTTGATTCTGTACTTAGGGCAGCTCCTTTCTTTTATTTTTTTCCATCCTCTAAGATTTAGGACTGCAGTCAAAAGTATAATGTCATAAAAACAACGACATAGAAGCATTGACTTACAAATAAATGGACGACGGGTCTAATACAAAAACCACGAAAAAAATGTCCCAAGTCAACCTATTCGAAATTTAAATTGTTATGTCATCGCAGTATCGCGCTGTCCGTAGAACAAATGAAGACTAAAGCGGAGTGTCGCGCTCTGTATACGATTTTAGCGCCTTACAAGTGCGGACACTTTTTAGCGCGGACCCGACGTCCATATAATTGTAAGTCAATGCATAGAAGCATGAAATGATATTTAAATTTTAATTACAAAGGAATCCTTATTTATACTAAAAAGGTTTGCTCAAATTAAAAATATTTAACCTCCTTCAACACTCCGTCCTAAATGAGTTAGTAGAGCCAGGCCAACTCCTTATACGGGCATTCCTTTCAAACATCTTTCATGCTTTTCTCTGCTCAATGCTTTCGTTAACACATCTGCAGGTATCTCTTGTGTTGACACATACTCTAAGCGTACCTCACCCATTCGCACCATCAATGTGTTTAGTCCTCCGATGATGCATGGGATTTCCAGCAATTTGAATCGCAGACTGACTATCATTGAGTAGTTCCACAACTTCATTAATCCCAGTCAGCTCGGCAAGAAGTGCAGTCCAAAATACTGGCTCCTTGCATCCGTCCGAAAGAACCACATACTCGGCTTCAGCACTGGAGAGTGCTATTGTTGTTTGCTTGCGTCTTTCGTGGTCGACAGAATTGCGACTTTTATGGATACAAAACCAGTGTAAGATTTCCTATCACACACATCACCTGCTAGATCTGCATCCACATAGCTAACAAGTTTTCTTCCCGTTTTCTTGAATACCAGCCCAAGGTCTTTGGTTCCGTATAAGCACCGAAGCACTCGCTTTGCAGCTGTCCAATGTCTTTGATCGTAACAACTATTAACTAGCTTAAATAGATGACTGCATAGGCAATGTCCAGCCTCGAGCAGACAGCGAACCAATGAACTCTCTGTATGGCAGTTCACTTGGTGAAACGTAATTATCATCTTCTGGTTTCACGAGCTTCAACTCAGTTTCAACAGCAGTCTTTACTCTCTTGCAGTCACACATCCCAAATTTCTTAAGTATTTTCTCAAGATACTCCCATTGGTTGATCTGTATAGACGTCCCCTGTTGTTTGATCTTCATTCCTAGAAAAACATCTACTTCACCTAAGTCTCTAATTTCGAATTTAGATTGAAGCTCCTTCTTTACTGATGTCCTTTCTTTTTGATCATTCCAGAAAATTAATATATCATCCACATAAATCGCAATAAACATCATACTGTTTTGTTTCTTCCTTATATAGACACAAGGTTCACTTTCGGATCTCTTGAAACCCATATCTAACAAAACTTTGTGTAATTTGTCATACCATTCTCTGGGAGCCCGCTTTAATCCGTAAATAACCTTCTTCAATAGACAAACACGTCATTCTTTACCAATTTCTTCGAAACCTTCAAGCTGGTTCATATACACCTTCTCTTTTAAGACTCTACTCAAGAACGCAGTAACGACATCCATCTGATCCACTTTCAAGTCATTCTCCACAGCTAAGTCTAATAGCAATCTCAGAGTACTGTGATACAACAGCCGCAAAAGTTTCATTGTAGTTTAATCCCTTTATTTGGGTAAAACCTCTGGCAACAAGTCTAGCTCTGTACAGTATCTTCCCCGGTTCCTTTTTATTCTAAAAAGCCATTTAGAATCCACGAAATAGCCATTAGCCTTTTCTACTAACTCCCAGGTCTGATTTTGTTAATTGCGTCAAGCTCTTCTTGGATTGCTTTATCTCTTTTTATCTCTATCGGTCTAGATAAAACTTCGTCAACTATTAAAGCATCGGTCTTCATATCTTCTTCTGCATAATAAAGAATATAATCATTATATTTTTTCGGCTTCCTTTCTATAACAGAATATCTTCTTTCAGGAACATCATATTAAGTGGTTTCCAATCTCAGTTCAGAAACTTCTTCACTTTGAACTTCAGATTCAAGAACTTCCACTCCTTCATTGGGGTTACTGATTCTAATTTCATTTCTCATTTCCCCTGATTGTAACTCTTTTCTAACAATATTTTCCATATACAGCTGTTCAACATCTTAACAGTAAAAAAAATCTTCAGGCTGTTCCATTCGATGAGTTTCAGGAGCATTAACGACTTGAGTCATTATAGGTTTCTCGCAGCTGTCATCTAATATCACCACTTCCACGATTTCATCACAGTCGTTTGCATGAACTCTTATTTGATTCTCAAAGAAGACATCTCTCGCTTTGTGTAAGCCATGTGTTACAGGATCTATAAGATGATATACTTTTGTTGTTTCAAAGTAGCCAACAAATAGCAATTCTTTCGTCTTTGAGTCAAATTTTCTACGCTTCTGTTTTGGAACATGCATAAACGCTCGGCAGCCGAAAACCTTCAAGGGACTCAGTTCAACCTTTCTGTTTGACCATGCTTCTTCAGGCGTCTTCCCTTTTGCAGCACGTGTAGGACAGCTGTTCTTCAGATACACTGGGATATTGACCGCTTCAACCCAGTATTTCTTGCTAAGTTTCGCTTCTTCAAGCATACTTCTAGCTCGTTCCACAATTGAACGATTAGCTCGTTCACTCACTCCATTTTGTTGCGGTGTATAGTCTATTGTCAACTGATGAACAGTACCATTATTCCGCAAAAAATATTTACGCGTTCATTGACGTATTCTTTCCCGTTGTCTGTCCTAATTACTTTTAGCTTTTTACCCATTCTGATTTTCAACAAGCGTTTTAAACTCTATCAGCTTAGAATGCACCTCACTTTTGTTCCGCAAAAAGTAAACAAAAGTTTTTCTTGGATTATCGTCAATAAACGTCAGGAAATACCTATACCGTGCAAATGAAGCAGTCTCCACAGGGCCACAAATGTCGCTATGGACCAATTCAAGAATTTCAGTAGCACGTGTACTCTCTTGCTTCAGAAAAGGTAATGTCGTTAGCTTACCTTTCAAGCACGACACGCACTGTTCTGAATTTGAATCCTTGAAACATATACCTCTCGCCAGTTTGTCACGTAGTTATTTCATATTGCCAAGTCCTAAATGTCCAAGTCTGCGGTGCCATAGTTTAACTTCATCATCAGTAGTTGTTTTTAAAGGTGAAAACAAGTCAGGATTAGAATTAGGTTTCACTACATAGATCCCTTTCTGTTCTTTACATACCAACCCAACCTAACCTTACCGCTCATTTGACATTCACTAGCTTTATATAATTCACAACTTCTCTTCGAAAATACTACCACAAAGTTCCGACTCACTAACGTACTTACACTCTACAGATTCTCAGCTAGTTTCGCCACATAGACAGTTCCCTTCACACTCACGTTCAACTCATCCGAACAAATATCATCTCGGTCTTCACCATCCACTCTGCTCCTATTCGCGCAGGATATTTGAACTGGCTTCTCCAACTTCACATAGTCATGAAATGACGCTCCAGAATCTAATATCCACTCTTGCGAATCGTTGTGTAACGTGCTCTCAGATTGGTGTCGAAATAATAATATGTCGCTTAACGTTAGCAATTATCATCTACTAACATTTATACGTAAAAAATCCTTTACAATACACATACAATATAAAAAAAAAATTAAAAAAAAGTAGAATTAAAACGTGAGACAGTAATAAAAGATCTGGGAGTGTGGATTGATTCCAGTCTCTCTTTTAGACAGCATTATGACTATATAGTGTCAAAGTGCAATAAAATTATGGGTTTTCTAATAAGGTTTGGGCGGCCATTCAAAGATCCATGCAGCATTGTTATTTTATATAATACATTGATTCGAAGTGTCTTAGAGTATTGCTCAGTGATTTGGTCTCCGTATTACGATCGACATAAAAATAGAATTGAATGTATACAGGAACGTTTCTTGCGACATTTAAACACTAAAATGGGTTTAAGACGTAAGCTCTCATCATACGAAGATAGATTAAAGTATTTTAAAATTGACACCTTAGAGAGTAGACGCTCTTTGCACACATTTGCCGTGTTATATAAATTGGTTAACTCTGTGTGGGATGCTAGTGAATTGTTAGAGCGGGTTGGGATTATGATTGGAAGATACCGCACGCAAAAACTTTTTTATGTGCCACTAACAACATACAACGTGTCATTTAATGATCCGTTGTTTCGTAAGTTCAGAAATTATGATAAGGTTAGCACTGAGGTAGATATATTCCACCAATCTTTAAAATCATTTGCAGCGTCTATGAGGTCTCAAAACTAGGTGCGCTCATTTTGCTCATTTTTGTGGATTAGTACATAGTATAGGTACATTTTTTTGGAAACAAAACCTGAAACCGGACTGGAAGTTTTTTCAATTTGGTAACGTCATCAAGTACGAAATGAAAATGATGATGCCGATGATGACAATGATGCCGTGTTGTGTGGTAAAACCTTGTTTTATAAATTACTCAACTAAAGTGAAAAAACAGGATGGTATATCATACTTTCAGTAAGTACTACATTGTGTTATCAT